CCCCAAAACCCCAAAACCCCAAAACCCCAAACTCCTTACACACAGTTGAACTAAATCTCTAAACAACCATTCAGTCTCACTAGCTTATAATTCCTGCCTGACCAGACCAGTTGTGCTTAGAGCTCACTGGCTGGAGAGATAAGAGCTTTAAAGGATTTTGAGATTTTTGGGGTGTAAAGGTGGATTTTAGACTGGGGGTTGCTAAGGGAGAGATTGAGGTGGGAATAGGGCTTAGGCGATGTATAGGGTGTTGTGGTACTGGTCTGGGAGAAGTGTTCTTAGCTTTCCGGAGAAATATCAGTGGATGAACTTTTCAACCGTTGTGAGTTTGTCGTCGTGGAATAGGCTAGAGTGTGAGAGAGAAGTTACTTGGCGTATACTCTGTAGCTTGTAGGGGCATATTGGAAGGTCAGGTTGTTGTGGTTGTCATTATCTCTCATTATGTGCTGAATAATGGTTTCTGTCAGAGATTCTAGCTCTTTTTCGATGTCACTATATCCCCAACAAGAGCCGATTATGGCTATACTGTGAATATTTATTTCTGAAAAGAGTTTCAAAATCAGGATTAAATTTTTCTTTTTGGGTTTCTTGTTGAAGTTCAGAATTAAAGATAACTGACACTTTTTGGAAAGTTTTATGAGGTGTTCATAAGCTTCCTTAAAGATCCTTATATTTGAACAAGGTGCTAATTCGATCTCTATACGATCGCAAATGTCTAAATTAAGATTAGTAATCAGGGAAAATCCTTCTTCTTCTCAAATTTCTGTGATATCTCCTATAACACAGGCATAAACATATTAGATTTGGAGTATGAAGAAACTCTGAGTGCCACTTACAAGTTGCAACATTACAATGCTCTACAAAGAAAGCATAATGATTTGTGAATATCTCTGGAATACTTTCTTTATTATCTAGAGATCCCAAGTGATTCTCAATCACAAATCTTTTAAATTGATGAGTCTTCTTAGTTTGAGCTAGTCTGAGATTATGGAAGTTGCAGTGATCGAAATGCTCAACTCTAAGATATTTCTGTCCTTCATAACCATCTTTAGACTGAAGAATATCAAATGGGTACTTCTTGGAAAGGTAACTAGTAGCTGGTATTTCCAGCTTATCTACTTCAAACTCCAACATGCCATCAAGAACGTCCAGACTAAAGATGAGATGAGGGCTTACCTGTAGTTTTCATATACACTGTAAGGGAAGAAGTAGACTCTAACATTTGTCAGAGTCAATCATCAAACTTGATTGGGACTAACCATACAAAACTGATCATATATCGAAGGATATCTTGTTCTAGGAGTAAACTCTCAGAAGGAAGTCCTATACTTTTGAGAAAAAGGAACTCATAGCTCGTTCAGAACTTCAAGGTAACTCATTTCTTTATTTTTCATATTAAAGGATACTTTTTCTAAAGATTTCACTTTCGCTAATAGTCCTTCGCTGTGAAACTTCTCTCCTTTAGGGATAAATAGATTATTAAATATGATATGCTTCACTCTTCCCAGATAAGGTAGGAGAAAGTCATCAAATATTGGGATCACTCCTGATTGCGGCCAGTAGCCTAAGTCATCAAACCCGAAACTGAAGTCCTTTATCTCTTTAACTGGAGAGTAATGGAAAAAGTCTAGCTCTTCGATGTACTGTGTAATGACTGATTTTCTCTGCTCTAATGAAGAATAGTTACAACGACTTATAATCTCCGATGATTACCTTTGTGTGGGAAATTTGGTGCTTGCAAATTCAGCCTATATCATAAATCCCCACACGAGCATTTGGTTAAATCTAGATTTGGCTTAGGAATTTCAACACTCCACAGCCAAGCTTAGTAACTTACCTTTTGATATTTTTGAAAAGATGAAAAATATTTTGAAAACAAAAGGCAAATTCTGTGTACTCAAGCGGAATATCTAGGAAATAGATGATTTAGAGTGCTTACCCAATGGTTCATCCAGCAAGCCTTGGTTAATGAAGAATATCTTGTGGGTGTCTACAAAGTATTAAAGCTGGTATATGCTCAATAAATTAGAGCTATGAAGGGACCTCCCTTTTGATCAATTTTAATTGGTAAGCTAGATTAAGCTAAATGATCAAATTCTGGGTCTTTTAGCAAACAGAAATTTTATGGATAGTTCAGGAGTGAAGAAATTAAGTTTATTCTATTTTTTCATCAAGCGATGACATTATAGTAGCCTTAGCAGGAACTATACTAAAGGATGAGATCTCACAACCAGATTGTCTGTAATTAAGCCTATTTCATTTAACCTATTACTATTATAGTCATAGAGAGTCCTCTTTGATATATTTTTTATAGCTTTAATATCAAACTCCGGAGTGGAGCAAATTAAATTTGGTGAATGAAAGGATATGACTATCTATTAGAATGCTCAGAGCGTTGCAGGATTAAATTATTCTGCATATTAGTCACAGCTATTTGAGAATCTTTAACTGAAGAAAATTTGCACAAATAGTCAGAAATTAACAGAATTTCTATTTCTTTCGATATGATAAAAGATACGAAAATACCTGTTGGTAGAATAACTAAGTAATCATCAAGTTTTAGTTAAGAGCTGAGAGATACCTTTCTTCTTAAGAGCAGCATAAAAGTTGGAAATAAGTTGTTCGTTGTGGGCGAGAAGAAGGTTAGCGATGTAGATTTTGGTGAAGGATAAGTCAGCTTGGTCGCCTAGGTTGGATAAGTTGATTTTTTGTAAGAAGTGGGTAAATTTTAGGATGCTATGTTCGTGGTTTAGGTACACTTCAAGGGGGTATTTTTCGTAGAGTTTGTGGGCTATTAAGGAGTTGATCTCTGTATCGGTGATTTGGAAGTGGAGTTTACAGACGAGATTTTGGTTTTGGGGTTGTATACTTGTGGTAGTTTTAAGGGAGTCTAGCACTTGCTTATATAGATGACTCTTTTGCAACCAATGGTGTCTAATCTGTTTATCTACAAGTTAGAGAGATACTTACTGAGATACAGCATCAGAGATTGGCAACAAGAATAGTTTCCATAATAAGGCAAAATTGTCTGAAAAAGTGGAAGAAGCTTGTCAGCATTAATTCTCGAAGAGTTCTGCTCCATTTTAACTTTCTGATATTTTCTATTATAAATCCCATTGCCGGGGTTTTGGGGTTTTGGGGTTTTGGGGTTTTGGGG